AAGGCTAGCGCTCTACCACTTGAGCCACAGCACCACTTCCAGCTTTTTTCTTTTTGCTTATGTGGTGCTGAGGAATCGAACCCAGGGCCTCAGGCATGCAGGGCACGTGCACTACCACTGAGCCATCTTCCCAGCCCCCTGTCTGATAACTCTTTAACAATATGGTTTGAGAGAGTTGGATATATGCCATCTTAATCTATTTGCTATCTAGGTAACAACACGGGCCAGTCTGTACCAATATGCTCAATATATTGCAGTTTTTTGTCACTGTATCCCAACCTGAGCATAGCTCAGCCATCCTGTATTGCTAGAATCTAATCTATGGTGCTAGTTTCAATTCTAATAAAAATTGCCACTTGCCAAGAATTTATAATGTGCCATGCACCTGAATTGAGCATTTCACACTACGATCATCTCCATGTCACAGATGAGGAAATCAAGGCACAAAAGTTAAACTGCTCAAAATCACAAAGCTGACAAACAGAGTCTTAATTTAAATCCAACAGAATTCCCATGTTGAACAATCTAAGTAGAGTCTAGTTCGTTAAGTTCTCTTAGCCAAGGTTATATTCTCCACTGGACTCCAGGGATCTTACCAGGTAGGGAAGTCTCTTCCTCATTTTTTGTCCCTAGCACACACCTACACCTGTTACTGTCAACCCAGATTGTCCCAACCTAATCCAACCCACCTTCAAAAAGGTTGAGGACCCAGAGGGCTCAAAGGATGTAAATACAAGAGGGTTTATTCTGCACTATTTACATTCCCAGTCTAGCTGAGGGTCACCAAAAAAAAATCCAAATTAATCCAGGATTGGCCAATCTATTCTAGTACAGCCTACAACGTCTCAACAAGCAGTTGTCTGCACCAATATAGACAATATTCCAATAGCATTATCTGTACTGGCTAATACAGGCCTCAATTGCCTTATTTTACCCTGTATTAACTGACCCAATAAAATGCCTGTCCCTAAGAGAAACTTAAAGACCAACCCAGTTTAGTCAAGAATGACTCGAGTTTTTCTAAGAAAATCTACCCTGGACATCTCAATATAGGCCTTTTTGCATTAGTATAAACTAGGATGTCCCCACTATAGGCCAAAACATCTCAAATTGCCCCAGTACCATACAATCTACATCAGATTACAGAATATTCCTTACACAGTCTATCCTTCAGAACTCCTAAGCATATACCGAACTACCAGATTAATCAATCTGTTTTAGTACAGTCCAGAATATCCTCCAAACCAACCAATGTGCCTCCATCTATTCCAGTAAAACTTAACCTCTATTCTGGTTTACTAAAGCCCAGGCTTGGCTTTCTGTAGATTCGAGTACCAGGGTCCAAGGATAACCTTACCCTCCTGGGATAGGCAATCGTTCTCAGCATAGTACAATCTGCTCCACTATAGGCAGAAAATTCGAGTGTAGCTCGGTGCCCCTCCATACGGCCCAATCCGCTCTAGTTCGGCCCCCATCCTTCCCAGTCTAGGCCTTATGCTCACCCGAAATCCTGATCCATAGACTTGAAAAAGTACTTAGCGCCTGCGGGCCGCTGCAGAACGCTCTTGAAATCGCCGAGGGTGATGCGCTCGGCGGGAACGGGGATCTTCACCAGGTACGGTGTCTCTTCCTCATCCAGGTGGTAAATCACCTTCGTTTCCCCGACACCACCGCCCCCCGTGCTGCTGCCCGCCATGGTCTCGCCCGCGCACTCCCGGGCTTCGCCGCCCACCCAACGCAGCAAAGAACCCCCGCGGCGCCTGCGCACAACCGAAAACAGATGTGCGAACGCCGACAGGACCCGGCCTGTGTGGAAGAAGGGCAGAAGGGTAAGGCGTGGGACTGTCGGAGCGGAGTGAGGGAACCGATGGGGATGGGGGGGGGCCCGGAGGGCGGGTGTGTATGTGGGGGAGCAGACGCTGCCGCCGCCGACGTGAGCACTCCCCCAGTCCCCGCCCACCTCTCCCCATGCCACGTGATCCTGCCCACGGCGCGCGACAGGGCCCGCCCCATCACGTGGCTCTTTCCGATCACGTGATCCCCGGGATCCTCCTGGGCACCCCGGCCACGTGACCGCTGCCCGGCGCAACGGTCTCCCGGCCCTAAAGGACCCCGCCCCCCGACACCCCCACCCACCCGAAGGGCCACCCGGTGGGCCAGGCCCCGCCCTCCTCCCCGCCCCGCTTTACTCTTCCTAGGCTGGGCCGGCACGACGAACCAACCAGAATGTGTGCACTGGGAGAAAGGCAACTACTGGGATGGGAGCAGGACTGGGAGTGGGAAGAGCAAAGCCAATTGGGGACCTAGGGTTTGGCTACTCCAGAGTAATTCTGGGATGTGTAAGTTACAAACCCAGGTCTTTGAAAGATGGATTTCAGCTGGGTCTTCAGCCAGCTTTTCCAAAGCCTCCCTCCCAAGCAGGACAATCAGTGAGGGCTATGAACACAAAAGAGCCCACTCTGCTTTATTTACAACATGTAGGCTGTACAAACAGCTGGCCAATATTATTAAAAACAAGAGGTGAGTGATAATCATCACCTTTCTGCTTTCCTTCCTCACTCGGCATGGCTCTGGTACTTCACCTTTGAGCTGCCATGCTCAAAAGGGGAAGTCCAAAATCAAAAATACAACCGGTGTAGAAGAAAATAACTGGAAAGTGAAATAGAAGATGAGGGAGGGGAGTGCTATATTTACACTAGTTTTGTAGACAATTGTTCCACTCCAATTAGAACCCTGGCCCAGAAAGTGAGGGATAACAGGTCTAAGGGACAGATTGTGTCCACAGATTCAGACAGTCCCCTCCTAACCCCCCAGCTGACTCCGAAAGAGTCCAATTTCAAGCCCATGGAGCAGGAAGGCTAGGGTAGGAATGAAGACAATTCCAAACAAGTCTCCTTTGGAAATTCCTGCCTTGAAGTCACAATATCCAAGCTCCAGGGAATAGGCTGAGGACCCCGAGGCTCAGTTCCCAAGTCATGTTGTCATTCAGAGTTCCAGCCCAAGATGGTCATGTCAGGGCTCTCCAGATTTGGGGAGCCCTCCTAACCGCCGGGCCTCTGGCCGGAGTTCCTTGCATTTCTGGCAATAAAAGAAGTCAGGGACATTGGTTTTCTTAATCTTAGCACAGGAGAGGTGGATCCAAGTGCCACAAAGGCTGCATTCAATCATGGGCCTTCCTGCAAAGGGCTTTCGGCAGTAACACGTGATCAGATCCCATGAGTCATCACCTGGTAAAAACAAAGTTTGGTTGGAGTTTTGCCTGTGCTCTTGGATCTACAACCACCACCCCCACTCCTCTATCCTTGGGCAGCTGCCCCCTAGGCAACCCCAAACTTCTCACCTGATTCTACCATGATGTCTTCATCCATGACCCGCATCTCGCCTTCACTGGAGCTGGCATCACCATCTTGGCTTGTTTCAGTGCTGCCTACCTCCTTGCCTTCACTGTCAGTGGGGGGAGCTCCTTCAGGGTGCACAGTGGCAGGGGGCCTAGGGGCTTCAGGGGGTGTTGGGAGCACAGGGGCTGGGGCTTCACCCCCTACCACTGCTGCCATTTCTTCATCCTCCTCCTCATCCTCCTCTTCCTCCTCCTCCTCCTCTTCAGAGTCTGTGTCACTTGGGGGTGCTCGGGGAGGACCAGGAGGTGGGAGTCTATCCCCTCGCTCTGCCTTTTTCAACTTCCGTTTCTTGCTCTTCTTGATTCGAGACCTCTTTTCCCCATCCCCCGGAGCTGGCCGAGGCCTCCGAAGCACCCCAAAGCCAGACCCACCTCCTGGCCCCAATTTTCTGTTCTTTCGGTCCTTCTTTCGAGGAGGCTGGGAGAGATCCCCCTGGGAAAGGGGCACTGGGGTGAGAGCAGCAGGGGGCCGGGAGGTATGTGTGAGGGATGAGGGTGCCAGTGGAGATGCCACTTTGGGCCCATCCAGATCGAAGAGAGAGTCCTTGAGCTTCATCTTCTCAAGTAGGGTGGCACTGTCAGGAGCCTGCAGACGAGAGAAAGTGGACCTTGGGGGTCCTGGCTGATTGGGAGCTGCTTGAGCTGCCCTTCTTTTGGATGACTTTGCTTTCTTAACAAAGGTCTGGATTGTTCGAAGATCTGAGGGGGCTGAGTCCCAGCCATCACTGTCTGCTGCACTCTCACCTCGCAAGGGAGAGCTAGAGCCTGAGGCTGGCCAGTCACTTTCCTTAAAAGGAGGAAGAGACCAGGATCAGCAGGAACCTAATGTCATCCCACCCCCTCCACAAATCTAGCCAGAATATCAAGGACTACACTTTGCTGAAGTATCGTACCCATCCAACCAAACTGCCTCAGTACACAAAACTTACCAGTGTCCTGTCTTATTGTCATCTCTTTCTTTTTTTGGGGGGGGGAGGTGGTAGGGTCATGGGGCCTGAACTCTGGGCCTGGGCGCTGTCCCTCAGCTCTTCAGCTCAAGGCTAGCACTCTACCACTTGAGCCACAGCGCCACTTCCAGCTTTTTTCTTTTTGCTTATGTGGTGCTGAGGAATCGAACCCAGGGCCTCAGGCATGCAAGGCAAGTGCTCTACCACTGAGCCACCATCCCAGTTGTCATCTCTTTCTAATCGCTTCCTTTCTGCTCAAAGTCTAAGCCATCTCTACACTTCTCTGCCCAAACCTGCTTCTCATAGAGACCTATTCCTTTTGTTATTTCTGCAGTATGGTTTGCTGTCATCTCCCTAAAATTTATTCCAGAAATACCTTCCATTAACAGCCAAGAGCATTCCAAAATCTTAACAGATACCTTCAAATTCCTCATCAGGGACTGCTCAAGCCAGCCCAACTCTGTTATCCCTCCCACACGACCACAGCCTTAAATTTTTCTAATTTCCTTAGTGTTGCCTATCATTTCAGGCAAGCTCCTCCCATGAAGTAGTACAGTCCCCCTTAAATGGGTGGTGGTTCTGTCCCTACCTCCTTGCTAGGGGGGATGTAACCAGCATAGGCCAAGACAAAACTGCAGAACTTGTTGAAATCCTCAATTGTTCTCCTACGTTTTTCTGGCGGCTGAAAGGAAGGAAATATAGGTCACATGAAAGCCAAACACAAGTGTTAAGGGGACAATCCCACAGACACAGCCCCTAAAGCGAGAAATACAGGAAAGGAGAGGGAGCATAGTCAAATGATAGGAGCCAACAAAGGTAAGGAAGGTCTCTTACCTGAGTCTCTGGCTTAAGAGTCGGAGGTGGATCTGTGGAAGCAATAAAAGCTGAGTCAAGCCACTAAGAAAAGTCTGCTGAAAAACCCCGCCTTTAAACCTAGGAGGTCCCAGATGAGCCCCCCCTCCCCTCCTAGGTTCCCCGCCAGGGCAATAGGCGCCCAGCTGTACTGGACACGCCCCCCGCTTCCCTTCCGCCCCAGGAGGGGCGGAGCCTGGGCGCCGCGCCCTCCAAGGCCTCGCTATAGCGCTCCCCTTCCCCCAACCCAACCGGAGGCCCGGCGCCCCGCCCCCCGCTCGCGGCTCCACCAGTCTACAAGGCTCTCTCGGCGCCCCACCCCGCCATACCGCTCCCGGAGCCCGGCTCGGGCCCCTACTCGCCCCCGTCCTTCACACGCGCTCGGAGCTCAGAGTTCGCACTCGGCCGTGTTCCGCCACCCAGGGCCCTCCGAGACCGCACACGCCGCCCGCCGGCCCCCGGGGTCCAAGATGACCACGCCGAGCCGCTCCCCGCCCTCCGGCTCCTTCCACTCGAGCACGAGGCCGGGCGCGCCCCTGTCCCCCACCCAAAACACACACCCAGCCCTACTTTGCGTCCGGGACAGACCCAGCGAGCTCACTCCCGGACGCGGCCCCACCTGCCCCCCCACATCGTGCTCCCCACAATTTCGCCCTCCCTCCGCCCCTATCCGGGGCTTTGGCCCCTCCCCGTCTCGAGCTCTTCGGGTTCCCCGCCGGGGCCCCGGGCCCAGTCCTGAGCTTCTCCAGCAGCCGCCTCCCTCCCGTCCACCCCCCCCCTGCCCCCGAACTCACCAAGTCATTAGGCTCTGAACCCCTAAACTCAAGTCTCCTCCGCCCAAGCAGCTACTCTCCGCAGCAGCCCCGCCGCCGCTGCCTTCGCTGCCCGCCTCACCCTCCACAACTCCCGGGCTCTCAACCTCGCCGACCACCCCCACCCCCCCGCGCAAGTCGCCGGTCTCAACCCCCACCCCGCCCCGCCGTCCTCGCCCCGTCCCAGCTCTTTCGCCCCGCAGCCGCCCCCCCGGTACAGGTCTTTCTGCCACAGACAATACCCAGACCCGCTCTTCTCCCCACAACTACCTGATCACCCTGTAACAATCACCAGGCGAGCTCTGGCGGCAACTACCGGAGCTCCGGCACCACCGCCACAAACTCCCCCGCCGCGGCCAACTCCTGGCCCCCTCGCTCAGCCCTCGGCTCCGTCCTCCCGCCTCCCAACTCTCCGGCCCCCAGCAACTCGGACCTCCCAACGCCAGGGCCCCAAACAGTCCGAGGCCCTTTCAGCCCCTGACCCCCGTTCGCTCAGAGCTTCCAGCTCCGACTCCGGGCCTCCTCCCCAACAAACACGGCCAGCTCTCCAACTACCCCTGCCCAACCTCCCACCCCTTTCTCCAAGGGCTCTCAACTCGTCGCCCTCCCACCTCCAGAGCCGGGCCCCAGACCCCCGCTCCCGCACATCCCTGCGGGGCTTCGGGGCTCGGCCTCCAAGTTTGCCAATTGATTCCTCACCCGCCCCCCACCGCTCGGTGCCGGTCGAGGGCTCACCTTCGGGACTGGGCTCCGCCATGGCTTCCAGCATCGCCCCCTCCCCACCTCCCGGCCCGGTGCCCCCTTCCCCTGAGCCGGGGATCCCAGTGCCGCCTCTGGTGCTCGCTGCTCCTACGGCCTCGCTTCGCAGAAGTGTACGCTTCGGCCGGGCTGGAACTCCAGTCCGCTAGCCGCTGCCGCCACCTCCCTCCACCACAGCCTCCCGCACTCCCGGACCGGGCCCCCCTCCCCCCGCGCCGCCGGCCGCCTGCTCCCTCCTCCTCCTCCTCCTCCTCTCCTCCCCCCCCACCTCACTCCTCGTCCGTCCTCCCTCCCTCCCCGCCAGCCCTGGCGCGCAGTGCACCAAGGGGTATGTAGTCCGTCGGGGACCACGGAAAAGAGAGCGTAAGAGCCTCCAGAACTTCAGTTCCCAGCAAGCCACGTGCTGAAACATGCGCAGTAAAAACGCTCCCTCTCCCCTGGGGAGTGGCGGGGAGATCAGGAGCCTTAGAGTAGAACGGAAAAGCGCGCGCAGGCTCCTGGGAAGTGTAGGCTGGGCGGGACCAAGAAAGAAGAGGAAGAAGGGATTAAAACTCTCGGCCACCATACTGCCTCATTTGCACCTTCTTTCTCCCCAGAGGGACCGCCCCACTTCCGGCCAGACGGAGAAATGGTTGCTGGGAAATGAAGTCCTTCTGGTAATAAAGGCATCCTCTTCCCAGTTTTGTCCACAGTTGGAATTCCACTCCTTAGCAGCTCACATGATGGCATAAATTCTGCAAATGACATGCAACTGAAGATACTTCTATTACCAGCTGCCACATGATTATCTTTTCTTTCCTTCATCTATTAAACTGTGATAGGCTTAATCTAAAGCAGGTGTTTTCCAACTTCTCAGAAACTTGCAATAAAAATCTGCATACAAGGGCTGGGAAGGTGGCTCAGTGGTAGAGCGCTTGCCTTGCATGCCTGAGGCCCTGGGTTCGATTCCTCAGCACCACATAAGCAAAAAGAAAAAAGCC